AAAAAAAAAAAAAAATATATTTTACTTCCCTGTGTTTTGGAACTTTAGGTATTACTCCTAATACTCTTATCTTTTGTCAGTTTTCCAAAAGTAATTTATCTCACCCTAGAACTAGAAATTAATATGAAGCTTAAAAATTTACACATCACATTTTAGTCTGTATCCCCTTGGTACTGTTTTTCAAACTCAGTTCCATCAACATACTTGCTATCTAAAAATTCTCCACAATAACATTCTTAATTGTATATTTTAATATTTATCAATATCCCTCCCAAAACATTTCCTGGTTATTTGGACTGTAAATATGTAATCAAGCCCTCACACAATACTATGCCTACATACACATTTATTTGTGTATCACATTTCAGCCTAGTGGCCTTCTGTTCATATCAGAAGTTCATGGAAGATAATTTGGACAGCGCTAGAGTCTATTTGGAAGTGAAGTCAAATTATATCCACCTGACCTTGTACCATAACAACATGAGTGAAAGTTTGATAGCAATTTGAATATAGAAAAATGTGAGAAAATTGAGTTGTTTTAAGGCAAAAGGGTATACAGACAGGCTGAGCTCAGCAGAACCTACAGGTGATGGCAAGATCACAGGAATGTTGTGAGTGGTGGTGTCATCCAAAAACAGTGTTGTGTACCACATAAAATGACTGTTAACTTAAACTTATTAGTTTTGTATTCCTGTGAGTACTATCTTAATATGTTTCTCTGGTCATATAATTCTATAAAGACTGTAAGTATATGGAGTTAATATAATGTTTTATTAAAGTTTATTCTTTTAAAATAATTCCGTGCAACATGGTAGAACATGAGAATGTTATTTCCCTTAAAATATGTCTCCAGCTTGAGAAGCCATGCCTTAGGTATTTGAAGCAATTAATTAGTTGTGAGTTCACGTTTTTGTATACACGTTTATTTTTAACAGAAAACAAGATGAAAAATGGTTGTTGGTGCTGCCAGCAATGAATTCATCACTAATTCAAAGTTGCAAATCCTCTTTTTCTCGATTTCCCCTTTGATTACACATTCCTGTTCAAAGAGCTGCTGAGATGTAGGTATAACTATTTTGCTTTTTATAGTAGATCCCTGTCCCGTCACAAAGTTCCTCTTACAATTTTGGAGTGCTTTCCTCAATTAATAAGAAGTTTAAAAAAAAACTTCTTGTTACATACACTTGATGTCCTTTATGTGTGAATGATGTAGTGCAGAAATTTCAGATGTTTGTGAACACCTAATATGTGTGTGCGGATTAATTTTAACAACATTTATCTACCAACTTTAAATTTATTGAACAGTATGTGTTTTTTATTCTTCTTTCTGTGTAACATTTGAAAGCTTAAAGACTCAGAAGGATTATGCACTTTTCGTGGCAATCGTACGATAAAATGGACGAGGTCCATTGTACAATAGAACCTCCATAGTTGACCACCTCCCTGCATTGATCACCTCTGTAAGTCGACCCAATTTTTATACAGCAGACATGCACCACATGTACCTTGCCATACAGTCTTGGTTCCTTACGTTGACCACCTCTGTATGTTGACCCTTATCAAAGTCCTTTGGATGGTCACGTTCCAGGAGTTCTTCTGTATTTCTTTTCTGCCTATTACGCAAAACAGTGAGCTTCAGTGAAAGGAGAATGGGAAAAGCTGTAATCCATCCAAAACCTCCTCAGGGTTTCATTTACAGTAAAGAAGAGAGACAACATAAAGAGAATACATAAAAAGTGATGTTTTCTGCATGTAAAAAACTTCATGTAAAGTATCATTCATACGGCAGCACCTGTGGCTCAAAAGAGTAGAGTGCCGGCCCCTTATGCCAGAGGTGGTGGGTTCAAACCCAGCCCCAACCAAAAAAAAAAAATAAATAATAATAAAATAAAATATTATTCATGATTTGCACATAAAATCTAAAATATAACCTAGACAGTGTTTTTAAATGTGTAGATATGGAATTTTCCACTCCATGGTCATTCTTTTATTGAGGAAAAAATAAAAAATTAAATAAAAAGACATTAAAAGCTTTTAGATAATGTACCATTTTACTCTTTCCTTGCCCTTCAAAAATACATCAATAGCAATTATATTTTTGAAATGATAACCCTTTCAGAGGTTAAGACTTATGTACCAGTAAGAAATAGTTAAGAAGAATATGTGAGCATGTTGGAATTTCCTTTGTCTATATTTGGCCTTAACGAAACTGAAGTAGGATGATTTTACACCATCGTTTAAAATGTACAGTAAAGGATCTATTGCAATTTATCTTGGTTTTAATGTTACAAAACCCATAGTAGAAAATCCCATTCCAAGTGTTCCTTCCTACTAGGCTTCTTTGCCATAAAAAAAGTCATAAGAAAATATTTATTATCTTCTTTACAGTATTTTATCAGGAGATTACTAATTGAGAGTTAGAGACAGCTATATTTTTCTTCTTTGTGTCTTATGATTGACATAACTTTGAATTTGTTATTCACATTTACTTTAGTCAGACTTTGAAAGCATAAATATTATATTTTAATACTCTTGAAATGGAGAAGTTTTAAAGGCCTTATTCTATTCTTTCCCATTTTCTGCTTGTTGGTGACCGCAAACACTTTGTGCCATTTCCTACTTTCCTTTTTCATTTTTACTTAAAACCTTTAAAACAGAATGAAAAGAAGACCTCCTTTAATCTCTTCGAGAAAATAAACATAAGAAAACTAGTGTGATGATACATGATTCATTGGCTTTTCTGGGTAAGAATTGGTTAGGTGTAGCCGTCTCATTAAAAAAAAGAAAAGAAAAGAAAAACAAACCAAATATCAAATGACAAGTTGCTTCTCACCAATAACTTAATTATAACAGAGATTTTTCACATTTCCCTAGCTTTGGGGCATTTATACATATATTATACAACTTTAGTATCCCTTTGGTTTTCCTTCTGTAGTTGTTGGATATGTGTCTATCAGATATTTTCTGGTATCTGTTATGTGCCCAGTTGTGTGCCAGAAATTAAGACCAAAAACAGAAAAACATACAAGAATGCCATAAAGAGCTTCTAGTCTTGGTGTCACAGATGAAGTGGCACAGAAAAGAAAATAGAAAAGTTAATACAATATGGATAATGATAATTTTGACTAAATAAAGAATACCGTGGAAGGATATACTGTATGAAACACAGAACCAGGACAAACATCTTGGTACAGGTTCCTGCAAAACTATGATATAAAAGTAAGATAATTTTGATGGAGAATTTGGTGCTGGAAGTCCAGTATGAAAGAAATTCTTACAAACTTATAGAGTGAAAGTACTCTTGATGGAATATGTTAGCTTGTGTGTATGTGAGAGAGAGAGAGAGAGCAAGTGTGCACACACAGGAATGCAGGCATGCACATGGTTGGTCCGATGTTGATATTCCTCTAGTTAGAAAAGGCAGAGCGATGGCTATTGGAAGGAATCCACGTACACAGAGTGGTAGCTCAGAGTCAGAATATAAAGCGTTTTGTGTGTATTGCTAATCAGTTTGGAAATTATTCTCAGAAATTAGAGAAATTGTTTAAAAGGTTTTAAGGAGCAGAATGAGTCATCCTCATATTTTAGGAAGTTAAGTACATTGTTGCCATTCTAGAATGAAATCATACAGGGCAAGATTGGAAATTAATTAAAGTCAAATGTGATAGTGGGTTGAAGTTAGATAATAGCATAGGAAATGGGGATGATCAGGCCGACGATGTCAAGCAGGAGGGATGAGTGAGAGACTAACAATTGCAATAATTTTTTAGGAGACATTTGGACATAGTAGAGTAAACACATATCTTTACCACCACGAATTTTACAGACACTACTGAAATAACTATTAAAAAGTATTTAGAAAACATAACCTCGTAAAGCAAAGAAACAAGGACAAGAAGTCACAAGGGGCCCGGCACCTTGGCTCACACCTGTAATCCCAGCACTCTGGGAGGCCAAGGCAGGTGAATTGCCTGAGCTCATGGATTCAAGACCAGCCTGAACAAGAGCGAGACCCCATCTCTAAAAATAGCTGGACGTTGTGGGGGGCACCTGTAGCCCAGCTACTTGGGAGGCTGAGGCAAGAGAATCACGTGAGCCCAAGTGATTTGAGGTTGCTGTGAGCTACGAAGCCATAGCACTCTACTGAGGATAGTGAGATTCTGTCTCAAAAAAAAAAAAAAAACCCTTCCAAAGATGAAGAACTGCAGCACTTGACCCACTGACGGCTGGGTTGCACCTGGAGCTGAAAGAGGAAGGCTCTTGAATATCTCAGTCAGAAGCATTTAGACACCTGGCTACGTTAGATTTCCCCCATGCAAGCACTGTTATGCCCTTTACCCCTGTTTCACCCCATATACACTCACATGAACACTTAGGCAGGACACTGAAAACTTTCCCTCAAGAAAGTCTAACAAGGCCGGGCGCCACTGCAATCCTAGCACTCTGGGAGACCGAGGCGGAGGATTGCTTGAGGTCAGATGGGTTCTTCTACATTTCCTAGGATGGTCTTAAATTCTTGGGTTCTAGCAATCCTCTGCCTAACCCTATCAAATAGCAGAGACTACAGGCATGTGCCGTCACACCCAGCTTAATTCAGCATTTTATTTTTTTCATGTCAGACGAGTAATGTGCTGATGTCCTACCAAGATTTGTGGGTGGCACATCTCACGCATGCGCAGGGAAACCCAATCATCATGCTTATGAACTACAAAAGGATCTGAATTCAGCATTTTAATAAATGTACAGGAACAAAGGAGAGCCTGGGTTTTCCCAAGTCAAGATGGGAAAAATGGCCCTGGATACAACTGATCTCGTAAAGGATGCACAGTCTATGGACTGAAGACCTACAATCACTTTATACACAAGAACTGAGTAGATTAATACTAAGAAAACTTTATATACAACCCAAGTGATAAGTATAGGTGGAAGGGAACTGGTTAAAAACAGTTGAAACCTCTAAAGCTAAATAGTTAACTCAACCAGTAATTATTGAGACTATGTGCCAGACTCTATCCTGGATCAGAGGATACAATAGCAAAGAGGATAAAAATTCCTTCCCTTGGGGAACTTAATCTACTAAGGAGGAAAGATAATGATCAAGATAACAAGAAGACTACATTATCTGTCTATAATACAATAATATTAATGTCTGTTCCCCTAATGAAGTGAAAAAAAGTTCTTAAAGTTGACCAAAAAAAAAAAAAAAAAGAATATTGCAATCCCAAATATTATATCTCAAATACTCAGATAATTTGGGATACAGAGAAAGGAGAATTTATAGGAAATAGAACTTATATTCTTTGATATGGAGTATATAAAACTACTACATTAAGCATTTAACTTAAGAATTAAGAAAATAACAGTTATTCTAAAGTCATTAAAAGGAAGAAAATAAAAATAATGAACAATAAGAGTAGAAATTGACTAGAAAACAAAAAAAGAACAAAATGATTTAGCAATATGGCCATAAGAGACCACAAATAATATTAAGAATGGTAAAAGCAACTTAAGTATTGACAAAAACAATATTAAATGCATATAATAATTATCTCCAAATACAACCTTATTAGGATTAAAATTTGTACATGAACTCTGTAATGAATATATGATACTCTTATCCTCTGGAGAACTTTTTAAAATGATAGTGTGTTTAAATTTTTATTTGAAAATGATTTGTTTTTCTAAAGACATTTTGCCTTGAAAATAATTTTCAGGGTGGGGTTATATCAGTCGAAGTAAAGAAACTTTTTTTAATTGTTTTTTTTTTTTTTTTAAATTTCAGATCAATATGAGGGCACAAACGTTTAGGTTACATTGTTTTCGATTCTAAGGTAAAGTTCAAGTTAAAGTTGAGCCCTTCACCAGGGGCTAGCTGAATTCCCTCTCATCATTCACATTAGGTGAGATCCCGCCAGTCGCCCTTCCTCATTCCTCCTCCCCTGCCCCTGGCTAGGCCATGCCTGTGTTTTTCTTTCATGGGGACATGTAGTTGTTTATATATTGGTTTCATATTAGTATTGAGTATACTGGATATTTTTTCTTCTCCATTCTTGAGATATTTTACTAAGAAGAATGTGTAGTAAACACATTCAACTCTATCCAGGGAACCCCAAAAGATGTAAATTCTCCATCTTTCTCACGGCTATACTCCACTGTGTACATACACCACAGTTTCTTAATCCGTTCATGGGTAATGGGCACTTGAGTTGCTTCCATGCCTTGGAAATTGTGACTTGAGCTGTAATAAACATCTACGTGCAAATGTTCTTATATAAGATGATTTTTGTTATTCTGGGTAGATACTTAGTAATGGTATTGTGGGATCAAATGGAAGGTCAACTTTCAGTTCTTTGAGAATTCTCTATCCTTCTCTCCACAGAAAAGTATATTATATATAGTAAGTGTAATATATACAGCATATTATATATATACACAGTAAGTATATTATATACAATAAGTATATCCATTATATTAGTTATCAATCCTACCAGCAGTGAAAAGTACTCCCTTCTCACACATTCATGCCAGAATCTGCCAATTCAGCACTTTTTGATGTGGGCTGTGTTCACTGGGATTAGGTGATATCTCAGGGTGGTTTTGAATTGCATTTCTCTGATGATTGGGGATAGTGAGCATTTTTTCGCCATTCAACTGTCATCTTCAGAGAAGTTTCTGTTCAAGTGTCTTGCCCACTTAAAAATCGAGTTGTTTGCTCTTTTCTTGTTTGAGTTCTCTGTAAATTCTAGTTATCAGCCCTTTGTCAGATTCATAGCATGCAAATATCTTCTCCCAATCTGACAGCTGTCTATGATACCATTAGATGTGCCAGAGCTTTCTTAGCTTGATCATGTTCCATTCATTCATTTTTGGCATTGCTGCAATTGTCGAGGGGCCTTCTTCTTAAATCCTTTCCCAGGCCAATTTGGTCAGGTGTTTTCGCCACAGTCTATTCTAGAAATTTTATTGTTTCATATCTTAAATTTAAATCTTTTATCCAGTAAGGATCAATTTTTACCAATGGTAAGAAGTGCGAGTCCAGTTTTTGTCTTTCTTAAGTAGAGAAGAAGTATAGAAATTCAGATCTACCTTTGGTAGATTTAAGAGTGGAATGGTAAAACAATTTTGGATTATTAAATTTTAAATAATCCAAAATTTGCTGATAGCAAACATTTAATGACTCTGACAGAAGGCCAAAGTCTTGGCTAGAAAACTCCAAAATTTCTTTTCAGCATAGTCATTGACTGCATATTGATGCATAGCCATTGAACAATTGAATTCTGATCCCTTCTCATTTACAATAAACACATTTTACAATTTGTACTTATGAATCAGCACAGTGTGTTTAATAATTTTAGATATACACTGGTGACATAGAAAAACAGAAATATAACTTCACCTGAAGTTGTAAAAATTAATTTCCTTTCAGTGCATAATGAAGATCAATTCCCCCTCATCCACTGGTATAGGGCATAAGACCCCCGTAGATACCTAAAACCGTGGATAGTGCCAAACTCTCTCTGTATATACTATGTCTTTTTCATACAAACATACTTATTGTAAAGTTTAATTTATAGAATAACAATAGTAATAGAGTAATTATAACAATATACTGTAATAAATGTAAAATAAAGATTACTTGAACATAAGTACTGTACTACAGTGACCAAGATGGCTCTATATGACTTAAAGGTGAGTTTACACTCCCAGGGGTCCAACACATGGCCCCCCGATTGCATGTGGATTATGTGAGGACTTTTTTAACTGTGATGGTGGATACGAAAATTATGCATAGACTTTTTTTTTGTTTTTTGGTTTGGATCATAAGCCTTCATTAGTGTTTGTGTATTTAATGTGAGACAACCCTTCTTCTTCCAGTGTGGCGTGGAGAAGCCAAAAGTTTGGAAACCGCTGGGGGGTTCAAGGAACAAAGCAACAATTCATGTGCCAGCTGGTAAAAAGCACAAAAATGTGGAAATTTCATCACACTACTCAGAGCAGTGTGCAATTTAAAAGTTATCAATGCATATTTCTGGAATTTTTTAATTTCATGTTTTCAGACTATGGTTTGACTATAGATAGCCAAACTGCAGATAAAAAGAGACGACTATAATGTACGTTTATCATAAATATGAAAAATACTAGTGGGTGACAATGAACCCCTAATATGTTACTTAATGGTGAACAAAAGACATACAACTGAGAACTGTCCCGTTGTCACACCTTCACACCTGTTCTTTCACAGATATAATATACTGACATTTATTTCATCTTAAGAATTACTAAATTTGTATGTATAAATTCGGAGACAGACCTAATAAATTGAAAGTTAAGAAAAGCAATTATCTGACACTATCTTATGCTGTTCGGTTTTAAGAATCAAAACTTTTGTAAATATGCTTTAGTCTATAGGTAAAGAAAAGCTTCACTCTATAGAGTCACAGAATGTCAGTCCCTAAAAGAGGGGCAGTATTTGAGAGACGTTTCTGTGCCCATTGTGCCAGCTAAATTTTAATTAAAATTCGTGAAAGTTTTGTTGTTCCTGCTCCACGACCCTAAATAGACTATTGATTATTTCTGTGAGCAAGCTGAAAGCAAGACACATTTATTTCCTCTAAAACTGAGTTTCAGTGTTCCGAAAGGCTCAGTGTTATCATCCACTGCAGGCAGCAAATTTGTAATCTCCATTTAATTGCATTTAAGAATTCTCCCAAGTGACAAATATGGAGCATAAACACCAATGATAATACATTTTATTTCCACAAAATCCTTATTAAAATACATGTCTCTAATAACAACAGGCCAGAGACATGGACCATCTAATAACATACGAATATGATTCTTAGTTTCTCCAAGAGACTTTGTAAACACAAAATATTACAGATTCTTAAAACTAGGCAGTCAACAAGGCAAACCATCAATTTACTGGTGAATATATTGAGGCCAAAAGAAGTCAAGTGACACAACCGGGAAGGAGATGACTAGATTTCCTGATGGAATCAATTTCCTGTCCACTCTACCGTAGTTAGTATGCTCAACGATCTGATATGTTTATGAGATGAAACATGATATATATTTATATTATATTGGAAATTCGGTTTCTCACATGGTTGTGAAACAGTTTTATAGCAGCCTTATTTTTATTTTAATTTACGTTCCCTGATGACTTCGCACATGGGGAAATCATTGGGAAATCATGGACTTATAGCTTGTTTTCCAACAGAGAAAAGAAGGCCAGGGGAAGGTCAAAAACCTGGCTGCAATCTGCAACCAACAGAAATTATCATGACTGATAGGACTCGCAAAGGCTGTTTATTCCTATCTGGATTTGTTGTGGTTGTGGCCTCATAAATGTTTATATATCTTATAGGAAGTTTGAAACAATTATTAAGCATAGTGATTCTTAACCTTGGCTGCCTAGTAGAATCATGAGAAACTTTAAAAAGAAAATAAGAACTTCAGTTCCTATCTCAGAAATTCTCATTCATTGGGTCTGAGATGAGGATAAGAATATCCATATGAAAAGTACTTGCAATATTTGAGAAATGTGTATTATAAAAATTATTCATTATTTACCTAATTTTCAAATTTAGTTGGGTCTTCTCTATTTTATTTGCTAGTAACTTTTCCCATATAACTGACAAGTGGGCTAATGTCTAGAGTCTGAGTATCAGTCCACAGGGGGCAGGTTGTTTTTTTTATTTCTTGATTTTTCAGCTT